AAAAAAAAAGTGTCTAATTTCATACTTGTGTGAAGTTCACACTGACACATTTATAAATTGAAAGGTTTCTTAGCACTGGAAACTCCTAATAAGGATTCGTGTATTGGCGATCCATTTTACTCTTTTGAGAGGAAATCCTTCTAAATCCTTGGCAGTTTACTTCAGGCCTGGGAAGCAGAGATGCAGAGGCTGTATGTGAATCAGTCTGTAAATCCAGAATGATGTTGTGCTAGTAGCAGGGTAGACCTGTGTGAAGCTAGGTCTCACAAGGAAACTACAGATGCTTACTTTGTTTAGCTGTGACTCATCTTGTTTTCCTTAAACATTCCTAAAATATTTATCCGTAGATACTTGCATTTTGGCTTTGTTCTTTTCATAACAATAAAGTCAGAACAAGAGTGTTCAAGCTCACACTACACCTGTATATAATGAGCCCCTAAATGTCTGAAAAAAACTCACATGAATCCCGGCGCCATCTGTTGGTGGTGATAGAATTGACATGTTTTGGTGGGTCGAGGCAGTTGCCCTGCAGTTAGGTGAAAGAGCCTCTATAATGCCAAAGTCATACACTACTCAACCAGCCAGCAACGTTTTCCTTTCTCTTTCTCTGTTGTGAAGGTGTGGCGGGGCACCCTGGCCCGCATGCGATACAAGAGGACGAAAGCTGCCCTGACCATAATCAGGTACTACCGGCGCTACAAAGTGAAGTCATACATCAAGGAGGTAGCCAAGCGCTTCCAGGGCGTTAGGACGATGAAAGACTACGGGAAGCACGTGAAGTGGCCCACCCCTCCTAAAGTACTACGCCGCTTTGAGGAGGCCCTACAGGCAATTTTCAATAGGTAAGACCATGCTGGCATGTTCCACATCCATTCATGGCAGCACAAGTCACAAATCATGGTACTGGCTGAGCTCTTTGCTATTTGGTGTTTATCTTTCCTTTCTTTCTTTATTTTTATAGATTTTGCTTTCCAAGAGTGTCTGCTTACCTCTCAAAATAATAAAACTGTCAACTGTAGCTGTTTGCAACTGCATGCCACAACCCCAAGATTGAACCTGCATTTAAGATAAACCACTAGCTTGCTGTTTTTGCTTGCTGTTATTAGCAGAAAAACAGAGGAAGAAAGGGCAGATAGATGGACCTATCTCTTAGATTCACCCCATATGATTCAAACCAGCAAATCCATGAATCTTTTCAGGCCAGCAGTGCCCAGTCTGGCTGTGCTTTAGGTTCATGAGGAATTTATGAACCACTGGTGCCCAAGGCCCACTTCCAGTAGAGCCCTGTTTGATGAAGCTGAAAGTAGGGCTAAAGGAGAGGGCCTTTTAAGGTTTTCTGGGTGATTTTAAAGTGCAGCTAAGGATGAAAAATAGACCAAGCTTTTTTTTTTTTTTTTTTTTTTATAGCCATGTAAAGTTTGCTACCTTCCCAACTGGTCCTCATTTTTATGACCTGCCCTGAATCTGAATCTGTCCTTGCATAAGTCCTTTCTCTTCTGTTTTGAGCTCTTTTGTTGCTATCATGCACCAGATATACTGTTGGTTCTCAGTGTCCGTGGGCATTGATTCTATCAGCCCCTGTGGATAATACAATTCTTAAGTACAGATGCTCAAATCTCTTGTATAAAACAGTATACTATTTGCATATAACCTACACACATGTTCCCACCTACTTTAATCTCTGGATTATTTATATCTAAGGAAGTGTAAATGTTGTGTAAATACTTGTTATTGCTTAGGAAACGATGACAAGAAAAAAATGCCCATGTTCAAGAGTCACAACCATTTTCAACACAACTGCTTGTTTTTTGTTTTTTTTTTTTCCGGAATTGGGGATTGAACTCAGGCCCTTGCACTTGCCAGGGAAGCACTTATTCTACTGAGCCATTTCCCCAGCCCATTCCTTTTTTTTAAATTTTCATTTATTTATTTATTTATTTTACAACTGTTTTTTTCATGCAAAGTTAACTGAATCTGTAGATATAGAACCTGTGGGTATGGAGTTTTCACTGTGGGTATCTCTGCCTTAGATACAGCCATCTAGTCACATAAAGTAAGCTAGCAGGGCTCAAATTTAATAATGTGGCCTCATTTTTACAAAGAATACTAAATGATATCCTGAACGTAAAAGAGCTAATTTATAATTTTATGCTAAGTCAGATTTTAGCTTCTTTAGACTTTGCTCTATATAATTGATGGAAGATATCATAAGATAAACAAAATTCATGAGAATCAAACTCTTCTATATGTCTTTTTAAGAACTAAATGCTCAAAAAATAAAACAAAATAATGTAGAATTATTGAAAAGTGCCTCAACCTTCAGTTCTCAGATACAACACTGTGTTTTCAATGTCAGCAGGGTTTTTTGTTTTGTTTTGTTCTTGTGGGAGAGGTGAAACAGACTGGGTCTCATGATATAGTTCTGGCTGACTTTGAACTAACTATGTAGCCCAGGCTAGCCTTGTATTCTCTAGTAATCCTTCTGCTTCAGCCTCCTGAGTGCTGAAATTACAGGCATGCACCACCACACCTGGTTTTGCAAGATTTTAAATGCACAGATAAATATTTTTCATGAATGGTATCACCTGGAATCTATATTTTCATGTAATTTAAAAGTAAACTATATTTAAATGCATGCTTATTGCATCATTGTGAAATATAAAATCCTCCACATCTACTTTATCTTGCCCCCATTTTATTTCCTTCTCCTGAGATACCATACATTAATAACTAGTATTCTTCTAAACCTTTGTCTGTACACTTAGGAAACACATGCACATATTATAAGAGGCAGTGTGATAGAGCAGCTAAAAACACAGACCTGGGGTCATTCTGCCTCTGCCACTGGTCTAGCTATGTAACTTTGGGTCAATTAGTTAACCTCTTGATGACTCAATTTTTCTGTAGAAAGATCATGAAGTAGCGCCTGCCTTGTAAGATTGCTGAAAGGTGTAAAATGAGTAAATGTACAAAGCCTTTCAGGTGGCGCCGGACACATAGTAAATGCTTTGAAGACATTTGCCCATGCTGTACATGTGCATATACAGCTACACACCATTCAGGCTTCCCCTCTTTTTTGACAAGCAGGGTTCTGTGTATGGTTCTATGATTTCACTTAAAAAGCAGTCACAAAGACTAGCCCATGACAACAAATATCTACATGGTATTTGTAATGACTTGATTTTGACTAGATTCTGGTGATCTTTTTAGACTTTGAGGTCTTTATCTGTGGCCTAGAACTTACTAATTTGTGTAAAATGCTGTTTACTCAGTTAATGCTTCCTGAATACCTGCTATGTTGCAGGCACTGGCCTGAGTTCCAGGAATAAAGTGACAAACAAGAAAGATGGAAAAGACAGCCCCAGCCATCCTAGAGTCACCACCAGTGGACACACAGAAATAGAGTCTGCTCTGCTTGTCATGTGCGCATGTAGTCTCTTGCTTGCTTGCTCTGAACAGATCTTGCCGTTTGTTTGCATTAATCTGGTCAAGAGTCAGCAAACTTTAAAATAGAGGATAATAGTAAATATCTTAGGCTTTTATAGTAGTAAATATCTTAGACCACATATGGTCTCTCACATGTTTTTCTCTATTTTGCTTTGGTTTTGTTAAACATGTAAAAATGTAAAGATTCTTCTTAGCTCAAGGAATGCACAGAAACAGATCATGAGCTGTATTTGGCACAGGCTGTACTTTGCCAGCCCCTGATCTTGATTTTTTTTTATCTGCAGAGCTCTGAAAGAAGTGTTAAATGGTTCCACTGTTATTGTGGGGAAGGGGGTATTTTTGTAGTTGTGGGATCTGTGTATGTGTCTGGTGCTTCCAATCTTTCCTCTTCCTCACAGTAACTCTCTAATCCAGCCTATGTCGTGCTGAGCCTTGTCCCCTTTTTATATCATCAAGGTTTCTGGGGTTAGTGATTGCAGCTTCAGATGGTAGCACATAGTTTAGATGGTGGTTGGCATGACCAGGATGAGAAATCCACAGCTCTGTCGTCAGTGCCCCAGGGTACCTTTGTCAGGACTCTGAAATCAGTTTGGTACAGACTTTGGACTGTACTATTGTGGGCATCAAGCAGGGGACAGGTTGACCAAGCAAACAGGCTGGAAACAGAGCAGCAGTAGGCCCAAAGACCTTTCCTACCAATAGAATTTGGCACTTCAGGGCTGTCTTCATCAGTTTATCACTCCTGAGACATAATACCTAACACTCATAACTTAAAGGAAGAGAGGCTTATTTTGGATCATGCTTTCAGAAGTTTCAGTCCGTAGTTTGCAGGCTCAGGGCTGCATGGAGGAAGGGCTTGGGTAAAAGACAGCTGCTCATCCCATGGCAGTCAGGAAGCAAAGACTAGAAGGAGGAGCTGAGACTGGGGTGAGGGAATATACTCTTCCAAGTCCCCCTTCCAGTGACCGGATCCCACCGCCTAACACCAAGTCAGCTTTTAACTCATCAGTGAAACACATGAGGTTTTTGGTGGACACCCGAGATTTAAACCTTAACATTCCAACCCTGGCCCTTCAAAAATTCGTTTGCATCTCTCTCTATGCGAAATGGATGTAGTCCAACTCTTAGGGTTGCCAAAGTTTTGACAGTTTCAACATGTTTGAAAAGTTCAATTCTAAAGTTTTTTCTGAGACTCAAGGTAAACTTGTGAGTTCCTATAAAATATCAAAAACAATGTTAAACACTGCTGATTTACAATGGCACAGCGTAGACATTCCCATTCCAAAAGAGAGAAACAGGGAGATAGGAAGTTGTGGATCTTGCTGATTTCTGAGGTTCCGTCAGTGATCTTTCCTGTTGTCCTGAAGCAGAATATTAGTTTTGTTTAGCTTTTTTTTCCCCAAGGGTTGTCATTTTTTTTCTTTGTTCTGGGAACTGAACTCATGACCTCATGCTTGCTAGGCAGGCACTGTGCCACTGAGTTATATCCCCAGCCCTGGCTTTTTTTTTTAGCACTAAACCCTTCAGCAGCCATTTTCTCCCTTGCTCCAACTTTGTGGACACTTCTTTTTTGGCAGAAATGAAACCTTTTTAAATTGGCTTTTTGTTCCTGTTTCTCACTATAAATCTTGTTAAAAGTTATAGGCAACTCCCTGGATGTTGAACTGCTTTGAAATTTCCGCTGCTGGACTGAGGCTGATTGGTCACCGTCTTTAGTCTCAGTCTCCTACATAGTCTCAGAACATGAGCAAAATGTGGACAAATTTTGTGCTAGAATATAATAACATGGTTTTGAGTCCAGCATCCCGTGGAGTTCTTGTTCCCCCCTGAAATCTCCTGAGGCTGGCCTTGGTCTTCTGCATTTCTGTTAGCATTCTGGTCTTTATACCTCTAACCAGAATCTCCTGTCAAGCTCAGTTTATAGCTTCTAGGGCTTCCCTAGCTGGCACCTCTAAACCTTTCCAAATTCTTTCCACAAGCTAGGCTTCTACACTACCTGGTCAGGTATAATCATGGCAACGACTCCACCTCTGGTACCAAAATCTGTCTTAATTACTTTTTTTTGTTGTTGTTGTTGCTGAGATACAATACTTAACATCCACAGTGTAAAGGAGAAGAGGTTTATTTTTACTCAGTCTTTAGAGTTCCAGTCTGTGCTCAGCAGGCTCCAAGACAGAAACAGTACAGTGGAAGGGCCTGGATGGAGGACAGCCCCCCACAGCAGCCAGACCCAGGCCACTGATGAGTACAGCTCCTCCATGACCCATTCACCTTCCAGACTTGTAATGCCTTTGAGGGACACCCCAGCTCGGAACAATTATGGGGGCTGATTGGAGCAGTTACTTGGCAAGACACTGACTGTTGTAGGACGTGCCTGTCACTAGTGTTCTTGAATTTGATTACCAACTGCTCCAAACCTGTTCCTTTGATAGCCTCTTCTCAGTGGTCTTAGGACACCCTGTCCACATGTTGATTGACCACAGGAATAGAAGAAAGGATTTCACTGTTACATTGAACCTTCACTTTTTCATGACTGTTTTTGTGGTGTTATTACATTGAGACTTCACTTTTTCCTAATGATTGCTATTGTGAATGACACTGCCTGCTGCAGCAAATGCCCTGCCTCATCATGGTCTGCCTGTCCACCCGCAGGGAACTGGCACAGCTCCCACTTGAAATCTGTCACCTTCTGCACCTGTTCCTAACCCCTGCTGCCCAGGCTTATCAGTTCTCTGGGCCTTGTCAAGAAGTCCATATATGCCTGAGGGCATCTCTCCCGCGTGGACTGCTGCACATCAAACCACCTCCCCGTCAGCCCCATTCTGTCTGCTTTATTACCTTCCAGAAAGTCTTCGCACCTTCCATTTACTGACATCATTCTCATTTCCTGCTAGTATTATAGATTTTTTTTACATTTATTCAGTTATTTATATAGTAGTTCTGGATTATAGTGGCATCTTATTCTGGTATTACATGGGAACATAGCTTCAAAACCACTGGCCTTGATTTTAAAAAGTTAAATTTGCTTCCAGCATCCCCACTTCAAGCTCTTGTATCAGAAAAGATGACAGAAGTATCATGCAGGGTTAGGATGCTGTTAAGCAGATAAAAGACCTTACACCTGCTTTTCTGTCGAGAATATGTTTGGTTTATGCTTTCAGTTGCTTATGCCAAAAACCCTTGGAATTATCCTTAAGTCTATTATTTCTCTCACATCTAATCCATCAAAAAAAATCCTGTTGGCTCTTCCTTGAGAATGTAATCCAAAACCAACACTTTGAGGCTACCTTCCTCTGGCCTTTACATTAGGGAAATCATCCCTAACAGGTCATCTTGACCCCAATTTGTAATAGGAAGGATCTTTTTATAAGTCCTCCTTAGCAATTTCTTTTTTGTTTCCTTACCTTTCCCTCCCTAATCCTTTTGCAGGGCTTATATACCCTTCCCTTTGCTGTGCATTCTCAATTCTAAAAAGAATCCTCACCTAAGTGGTAAAGTCATTAACTACTAAAGTTATCTTTTTTAGCTTTATAGAACCCAGAACACCCGATGACCTGTACAATCCAGAACATTTGTAACAGGCCTCTTTAGTCTTCATTTAGCTCTGTCAACTGCTGTGAGGATTAGAATATAGGAACTCTCCCCAGAAGATTGAGGTCCATTGCCATGTTGTGGGTAGAGAAAAAGAAAGACACACACTGGATGATGAAGATCCCGCTGAGCATGTGGCTTCCTGCCCTGCTCCACCTTCCCTGTAAAAGTCATTTGTGCCCTAGAGTCCTCCATGATGGGCCTTTATAAGGAGTAACCCTTCCATCTTCTCCAGAGTCAGCCCTTGAGTAAACCTAATTACTTCCCAACAATTCTTACCTCCGGAGTTTTGGACCTCAAGTGGCAGTAACCTTAACCTGGTAAAAAGCCTGCAGCAATAAAGTGATCCATTGTTTGTTCAGAACCTTCCAATGGCCTCTCATCTAACTCAGAGTAAAGGTGAAAGTCCTGATAATGGCCTCAAGGCTTCTGGCTCTCACTTCCCTATAACCTACTCCTGATTCACAGCCCTTTGCCCCCCTCACATACACCGCATGCTGCTCCAGCTTCATAGGACTCCTGGTTGCACCTCCAACATATAATACAGCTCCCATCTTGGAGCCTTTGCAATTGCTGTGTTCTCTGACTCCTGCTCAGCCCTCTGTGTGGCTGGCTCCTGCCATTCCTGTAGGTGTCTGCTGATCTATCCTTTATAAGAACTGCCTCCCCAGATGACCCTGCATAAACAACATGAGCGTCCACCCTTCCTCTCTGGCATCCCTTGCCCTCAGTGCCTTTTCTTGTTTTCCTCTATTGTAGATCTCTTCAGCATACATACTTTATATCTGCTCATTATGTGTTTATCATCTGTCATTCTTCTTAGAGTACAAGCACCTGGCAGAAAGAACCTTTATCTCTGTTACTTATTGCTGTGCCTCCACTACCTAGAACAGCAGCTGGAGTTTAGTATATGCCTAGAACATAGTCGAATGAATGGATGGATGAATAAATGGATGAATCTACATGTTTATTGCCCTAAGCATGAACACAAGTTGAGTATCCTTTATTTGAGTACTTGGAACTAGAAGCATTTTGAGTGCAAAACTTTTAAACTTTGGAATATTTACACAGCATGTATTGGTTGAGCTATGATCAAGAGGTTTCCATTTTCAGAGCATATCAGATATCTGATTTTCAGATTGGGGATGCAATGCTGTTATGAGAACTTATAGGATGCTCAGCTTCTGTTATGAGCTTAGGTAGCCCAAAGTCTAACTGCTTTCAAAACAACAAAGTAATTGGACAGCTGTGGTGGTGCATGATTGTAATCTCAGCACTAGGTAGGCTGAGGCAGGAGGATTGCTGTGAATTTGAGGCCAGCATAGTGAGTTTAATTCCAGCCTGAACTACGTGGGAAGACCCTGTCTTAAAAATACATTTTATAGAATATATATCTCGTGAAGCTGTATTTAACAACTTCTGGAGAATATCTTAAGGCATTTTACATTTTCAGCATAGTAGACAAATACTTTTCATTCTACTTAATGGTAGCTTAAGTTGTTCTTGAGAATGAATGGGATTGAGTTTCTAAAAGTCCATACCTGTTGTCTACTTCCTTACAGATGGAGAGCATCTCTGCTCATCAAGAGCATACCTGCCTCCGACCTGCCCCAAGTCAGGGCAAAAGTTGCAGCCATGGAAATGCTGAAGGGTCAAAGGGCAGACCTTGGGCTCCAGAGGGCCTGGGAGGGCAACTATCTTGCTTCGGTAAGTCTAAGACAACAATGTGCAATGTATTCCTGCTCTCTTTACAAAAAAGATAGTGAAAATTTTTTCTCCAGGAAATGACAGAAGAATAAAACACATTCACAAATGAAATAATTCAATTGTGAGTAGCTGCATTAAAAGATTTTATTGCTTCTAACTGTACAATATTTGAAGTACTTCTCATCTTAACAAAGGTTCTCTGTGTTGTACTCATGCATTAAGTGTGCTCTATAATCTGACCTGTGGCCTTTTAAACCTTCTCTTGCATTATTCAACTATTTTTTTGTCTTTTTTTGGGGGGGGGATTGGTTTAGTTTGGTTTAGTTTGAGACAGGGTCTCTCTATACAATCCAGGCTGGCCTTGAGCTCACTCTGTTGCCCAGGCTGATCTTAAGCTCACAGCAATCCTCTTGCCTCAGTTACCAGCACACTGGGATTACAGGCATGTACCATCACGCCCAGCTTCACCAACTGTTTTTAATTACCACCTTTATATTAATTATTCCCAAAGCTATATTTCGTCTTCTCTTTCATTTCCTAATTTAAAAATTTCATAGGACCTTTGATGTTATAACACTCATTTAGGAGCCTACCCTCTGGGGTGAGGAGATAAAAAAAATATGTGTGTGAAACTATGTAAGTACAGTTACAAAGCACTACACTAAAAAATTGCCTTTGCAGCTCAAATATTAAGTATTCTGATTTCATTGTTTCTTTTTTTCTTTCAGAAGCCAGATACACCTCAGACCTCAGGCACTTTTGTCCCAGTTGCTAATGAACTAAAACGGAAGGACAAATATATGAATGTCCTCTTTTCCTGTCATGTCCGTAAGGTAAGGCAAGTTTGAAACAGACCATCATGGAAAGAAAAGACTAATTCAGATGAGTCCCACTCAAGTAGACCTGTAAATAAAACATACGATGCCTAGCTAGCTGCCCCATCTGTGAGCTATGCCTGTCTGTACTGAGGCATTGTTGGAATGGTTGGCATGGCTGCAGCTTTAGACTTAAGCTATAAAGCCTTCCTAAAGGAAGTGAATACTTTGGACTATCATTTTCTTTGAAATAGGATAGAGTATTTCCTTGAGGCCAAAGATCTGTTTCCCTGTGTCTTTCATAGTACCTACAGATCTGCTTTGTATTTAATAGTCATTTAATAATATATATACGTATATATACTAAAACAAGGTTGGGAAAGAAAACAATTTGGAAAAGAAGAATAGGACATACTGAGATTTGGGTAGGGGGAAGGTATGTGCTATGATTGTTTGTCAAAAGCAAATTATGTGAACTAAAATTTGCTGAGAGGTGGCAAGTCAAAGTGTGGAATTGGAAAATGGAAGGTAAAGGACATAGTTAAAATATTTGCTTAGATGAATTCATAGAAAAAAGAAATAATTACAAAAGAATTTGTAAAATGATCCAAGCACATTATAAAACATTAATGAAATGGCAAATTTAAGAAAAATATTGCTCAGATTGACCTAAGAAGAGATATTGATGTAAATATTAGCAATATCCAAAGGAAGTATTTTAAAAATTACCTATCAAAGTTCCAGCAAGTTTAGGTGATTTCATAAGTATTTCATTTCAAATCTTTAAAAAATACATAATTATATTATTTAAATCAGAATAGTGAAATGTGGCTTTCACCTATTTGGTAAATTTTAAAATATTGCTGTTTTTAGGATATAAAATATGTTTCTCTTGAGTAGACAACTTGGCAACATTGAGCAAAATTAAAAATGCCCATACTTCTTACTCCACAACTTCAAAACTCAGGGTTTACTTTATAGTTAGGTTTGCACAGATATCCAGAGGCAGATATATGTAGGTATTTGCATATTCTAACAGCCAAAACCTGGAAAAAATGTAGATGCTCATCAATAGGTGATTGGACTGTATATTATGTATTTACATGAACGCAGTAACTAATGAGTAGAAAGAAGATATATGGGGATGTAACAGTAGTATTCAACATAGTGAACATCAAGCAAGGAAAACTACTGATCCTTGAAATACCAGAAAAAGTGAGATGTGCTGTGTGTAAACCTCCTGCCTTTAGGGCTTTCCAGACTGTCCTGCGTGGGAGACCCATGGCACAGCCCTGTAGGTTCCCCAGTTGCAAAAACAGAGCCAAGAGCTGGGAGATTTATCCAGCTGAGAACTGATCAGCCATGCATGTAAGGAAAGTACTCGAGGCTGGGGAGGACCCACCCAAAAGATGAGAGGTCGGGACACTGTGCATTCACACAGACTGCATACATTTAGTGTCTGTCCCAGCACCAGAATGCAAACCCCGTGATCCCTAAGCAGGAGGCAGAGCCCTGACCAGGTTCCTGACCAGATAAGGAGAATAATTAGCCCTGAGTAAATATTACCCCAGGCCTACTGAACAAATCTTAAAAGTACAACTGCAAAGAATCAAACTGTTTCTAAATAACCTAACAGTATCTCAGAGAAGAGCTCAAAAATGTTTATAGAAATACAAAAATATCCAGCACCCGGAAGGTAAACTACTAAATGCATGACATCCAATCAAAAATTGTCAAACATGCAAAACAACTGGAAACTGCAATCCATAAGGAATAGGAAAATCATTCAAACTCAGGAATTGACAGACAAAGTCATTATAGCAGTCAAAAGTTATACCCTGTATCTTCAAAAAGTTAGAGGAAATACCGAACATTTTTTTTTTTTTTTTTTTTTTGGCGGAACCAGGGATTGAACTCAGATCCTTGCATTTGCCAGTCAAGTGCTTATCCTACTGAGCCATCTCCCTGGCCCCCGAACATTTTAAATAAATATAGGCAAAGTCCTTAAATGCATTGAATTTATAAAGATGAAAAATATAAAACTATGTATACTTAACAGGATGAACAGAAAGTTTTACCTTGCAAAAAAATTAGTAAGATTCAAAATATAGCGCTAAAACTGTCCAATATTAAACACAAACAAAAAGGAAAGATGCAAACATCAGGAAGCTGTGAGACAATACTAAATGCACAGAATCCAGGAAGCTAACCAGTTTCCAAACATGAAAAACCAGTGGAAACTGTAGTAAGCCACACTGAAATCAGACTCTTCCATTCCAGTAATAAAGAGAAAAAAGATATATACAAAGTAACAAGAATGCAGTTTCCACATCCACCCAGTCTCCATCACATCTGGTGTCTTGTGAAACATAAGAATGGTTAAAAGAAGGCATTGAGGCAGGAAAAAATGGAAATACACTACTGTGAGGTTTCTGTATCATACATGCAAAGTAGTATAGTTTCAAATATGAGATATTAGCTGTTTAAACTATCAACCACTAAAATAGCAAAGCAGAGTTACAACTAATAAGTCAGTAAAGGAGATGAAATGGAATCATTTAAAAAAATAAACGCAAACAAAAGAAGGAATAAAATGGGAGAAAGGGAACAAACAATAAATGGAATAGATACAAAACAAATTTAAAAACAGTAGATTGAAATCTAACCATAGTGGCAATCATATTCTGTGTCAATGTTCTAATATTTTATTAAAAGAAAGATTGTCCCCTCTTGGCACTTGGAGGCTTTCACCAACTGAGCAGCTCTGCAGACCCCAAAGTTCAGGATTTAGGAAGGATTCATTACTAGATGTGATTGATTAACTCATTGCCTCTTGGTGAGTGACTTAATCCTCAGCCCTTCTCTGTCTGGAGGTGATTGGAGTTGCTACTGAGTGCCAAACCTCCAGTTATGTCTTGGTTATTTTGGCCACTGGCCCAATCATGAACTGAGGAGCCCTGCCACTAGTCATTAGCAGACAAAAGACACTCATCACTCCAGAGATTCTGAGAATTTTACAAAGTTTTTTGTCAGAAATCTGGGACAAAAAAACTTTTTGTTGGTTTGTTTTTAATGTATTTAGTACAGGGTCTGTACAGTCTCACTCACAGATCAGACCCCTATTTTCAGCCTCCCAAGTGCTGAGATTACAGGTGCATACCACCACTCCCAGTCTAAGCACACCCCGGGGGTGGTGCCAGGGATCCAACCCTGGTCCCTGTACCTGCCTAAGCAGGTGTTTTAGTCTGCTGAGCTATCTGGCTGGCCCTTGGGACTAAATGTTATTATTTTTTTGTTTTTATTTTATTTTATTTTATTTTTTTTATTTTTCAGCAAATAATACACTGCATATATTCTTCTTAGTGGTTAATTGCTGTACAAGATACGGGCTTGTGATCGTATTTACAAACACCATTAGAACAAATCATTCTATTCATTAA